TTGAAAGATGAGAATGAACCTTCTAGGTAAAAAACTTTATAAATAGAGGAGAAAATGCAAAAGTGTTGGTGCAAGAAAGGATAGGGAGCTGAAACCGGTTTGGCTCAATGGATAGAGTGTCAGCCTGAGGACTGAAAGGTCCCAGGTTCAATTCCAATCAAGGGCATGTATCTTGGTTGCCAGTGGGGGGTGTGAAAGAGGCAGCTGATCGATTTTTCTCTCTCATCGATGTTTCTAACTCTCTAGCCCTCTCCCTTCCTCTCTGTGAAAAATCAATAAAATATATATTTTCTAAAAAAAAGAAAGAATAGGGAAGAAAAATTGAATTCAAGATTTTGGTCATAAGCTCAAAAACAAATCCACCTTGACTCTTATCTCACAAGGCTAGGATAAAAAACTAGGTCAAAATGAGTCATAAACTAAAACCAATGACACTATTACAAAAATATAGGTGAAAATCTTTGAGACCTTGGGTTTGGCAAAAGTGCTTCATTAGGACATGAGTACAAATAGTAACAGAAAAATCAATTAATTGAACTTCATCAGAATTTAAAAAAATCTTATTCTTCCAAAACTGTTTTGAAAATAAACTGCAGAACAAGAGAAAATATCTGCAAAACATACATTTGTAAAAAATTTTTTATTTAGAATATGTGATCAACTCTTACAATTCAATAATTAGGAAGTTAGCCCATTTAAAAAATAGACAAAAGATTTGAGCAGACACATTATCAAAGAAGATATATATGATCTATGTATATAAAACCCTAATATGCAAATAGACTGAACGCTGGAACAACTGAACAACTGGTCATTCTGATGTGCACTGACCACTAGGGGATGTGTGCAAAACATGGGCGTCGGCAATGCATGGAACATGGGCGTAGGCTGCAGGGGGTTGGTGGAGCAGGTGAGTGGGGGCACCAGACGAAGGTGGGGCATCAGTTGCTGTCATTGGGGCAAACCTCTGGTGGTTACTGAAAATTTTTGGCTCCACGTACCATGGTCCTGCCAGTGCTCGCACCTGCTGATCCTGATTGTTCTGCACTGTTAGTGGGTATGAATGGCAGCTTCCAGCCACAACCGCCCCTGAGGGCTTCTCCACCTCCCCCTGCTCCTGAGGGGCAAGTGGGGCCAGCAGTTGCCACTTGCACCCATTGACAATGCCAGCCCCACTCACATCTGCTGCTGAAGCCGGCCCCAATTGCTCCGCATCATCAGCGGGTGTGAGCGGGGCCAGTGCTGTCCGGGAGCAGTGGGGAGCCATGGCAGGAGGGACTGGGCAGTAGCATGGAGGATAGGCCTGGTCTCGCCCCTGTGTCCACTGTAGATTCGTGACCCACAGTTCCTTTTAAGGAGCATGAATTCATGCCTTTGGTCACTAGTATCAAATAAGTGAATTGAACACCCTCAGGTTAAATCTAAATGAGTTACAGAGGACTTAATATTCCCCATGAAAAAAATATTTAACACCTTTGGACATTAAAGAAATGCAAATTAAAAACACAGTGAGATACCACTACATGCTCACCAGGATAGCTAAAAGTAACAAGATTGGTCATTCCAAATACATTCAAGGATATGGAGCAACTAGAAATTCAGACAGTACAGGTGGGAATATGAAATGCTACTGCCTCTTTGAAAAAAAAAAAAAAAAACCTGGCAAGTTCTTCAGTTAAAAATTCACCTACTATACAACCCAGGTTATTTACCTTTAAGAATGAAAGCACATATCAACACAAAGACTTATACACTTAGTTCATTGTAGCATTATTTACAATAGTACAAAACTGGAAACAACCCAAATGTCAAAAGGTAATAAAAACGTGGTGGTATATTTATATAATTAGATAGTTGGGGTCTGTCTTTACAGTACTGCCTGACAAGGCAAGACAGCACAGATTTTCAACAAAGAAGATAAACAGAGATACAACAAAGATGTAAAGGTTCTACAGGATTTATTATACCAAGGATGTTTGATTTAATTTTTAAAATAGTCAGATTTTTTATATTAATCAGATAAGTTAACAACATTGAAGGAGTTTTAAAAAGTGACCCACAATTTTACTATAATAATGTAGGTTTCTGTTTTTCCTACTTTTATCAAAGGTTGAAGGGAGTACACATGATCAGGTCACTGTTGCAGAAAGATAAATTTGACAGATGGCTATAAGAGCAAGGCAAGAGTTCTGAATGGTAAGCCAGCTTGTGCCTATTGGAAAGATAGAGATCAAGGAACAGGAACCACCAGTTTGGGGATATTAGGGAGAGAATCAGAAACAATCCTAATATATAAAAACCCTGGGTCCATCATGACCAGAGGCTCGACCAACCAGAAGTCAGTCCTTAGTCAGTGCTGGGTTGCCGTGGTGACCCAGCACTGACTGCTGAGGGGGCTGTGAATCAGGCCCGGAGAGAGGCCTGAAGAGAGAAGCAGGGTCTAATCTGTAGCCTGTGGCAGCTGTTGATCAGCACTTGCCTCTCTCTTTCTCTCAAGGCTGGGCCAGCAGCCACACCTTCATTTCTCTCCAGGCCTCCACTTAAGCTGCTGATCAGCCCTGCCTTTCTGATCAGGCCCTGTTGATAGGCCCAGAGACACTTACTGGCATAGAAACTGACCAATCAGAACCAAATCTGAAGTGTGAGGAGCCAATCGCTGCCTACTAGGCAGAACTCTTGACACTGACTGGCATAGAAACTGACCTATCAGAACCAAGTCTGGGTCAACTGAGGATTCAATGGCTGCCTAGGAGGCAGAGCTTTTGATGCTGAGTGACATAGAAACCAATCAGAACCAAATTGGTGGGGGAGAAGGGCAAGATCAGGACTGTAGGGAAGGGCAGTTAAGGGCAAGATTAGGTTGGCAGGGGTGGGCAGTTAGGGGCAAGATCCGGTAGGCAGAGGCAGTTAGGGGTGATCAGGCAGGCAGGCAAGTGAGTGGTTAGGAGCCAGCGGTCCCAGATTGCGAGAAGGATGCCGGAGTTGGACATCTCCCAAGGGGTCCCGATTAGAGAGGGTGCAGGCTGGGCTGAGGGGAGCCCACCCTCTCCATGCACGAATTTTTTGACCAGGCCACTAGTTGGTTTATAACCTGATTGTCAGGTAATTAGATGCAATTTACTTATAAAGTGATGCAACTAATCAGTGTTCATCTCATCCTAACCCATCTTTGTACCTTAGGACTGCCGAGGCTCATCTCCTACCTGCTTCTAAAAAAACCTAGTTTCACAGACTATTTTTTTTCCCCTTTTCTTCTAACCATTTTTTCAGAGGCTTCCTCTTTAAATGGCTATAACAGTTTGCTTGTTGTAGCTAAGCAGTATTCAGAAAGTTATTCTCTTATGTTTGGTGGTTTTATTACTGCAAATCAGAAACACCTAAACTAAATGGTAACTTATAGGAGGAGTGAAGAAATTGGGGATATGTGCTCAGAGATGGGTGCACAGACACTTCAACTGTAATGGCATACATATTTACATTTTACAAAAAGTCAAAACCAAGGTTTTACTTCTGATAATGTCAGAATAAGCTCCTTTGTTTTCCTTTCATTATAAACTTAACAGTAGTTCTTAGAGGATGCAGTAATTTGAACAGGGATAAAAGACTTCTGCAAAGTTTTAGTGGTCAGTTTTTTATTTTTTTTCTGCACAGTAGTATTTTAAGTTATATTTAGTTGAGGGTAATAGAGTGAATAAATCTTATAAATATATTAATATTCAGAAGAGTACATTTCATAATCAGTAACTAAAATTTCACCATAATGTAATTGCTGAGAAAGGAATAATTACATCAGTATAATTACATCAGTATCAACAAAAATGTCAATTTAGGTTAATAATTTCAGCAACACTGAGTTGAAGTAGATATGCCATTGAGACACTGGTAAAAGAATGGTAGTTGTTTTTTTTAAGTGATATTCAAGAGAATGTAGAAAATTCTAATGCAACTGAAACAATTCCATTACATGTGAAACACAGATTATATTATACATTTATGAAATATACACACATATATAGAATTATGTATATATATTTTGAAGAGTACCTGTAATTTGTTGGTGTTTAGTGATTAGAATACCTACAGGTTAACTTCTAAATGAGTTACTGAGGACTCAGTCATTTGGTCTGAGGTAGGGTCTAGGAATCTGTATATTAAGGAAAGATTTTAGATGCTTATGACACAGGTTTGCCTACCTGCTTATTCTGGAAAAATGCAGTGTTATACTATCATATATGGGACACTTTAGAGCAGTGGTCGCCAGCTGGTGGTCTGTGGACCACTAGTGGTCTGTGAGGTCCGAAAGATTGGCAACCGCTGCTTTAGAGGGCTGTACATAAAAGTGTTTTACTCTGTGCTTTTATGAAGAGAAGCAAACGAATGTGAGATCGGCCAAATTTAAAAGTTAGATTTTCTTGTGTGCATGTGAGAAAACTGAGTCCAGTAATTCAAAACTTCTCTGTTCCCAAATCTTTAAATAAACTTACCCCTTAAGTGTATGACGCTGTTTTATCTGTGACTTTGAGTTTTCCTGACCACACTCTCATAGGCATCACTTATTTATTCCAGTCCTTCTACTGTGTAAATTTAAAAAGCAGAGGTTACTTTATATACTTATAATTTATTAATATGAAATAACATGCTAAGATTTAATATTTTGTATTTCTAATTAAATTTCAACAACCTGAGCTATTCTGAAAATTAATGGGGAATTTGTCATTTAATTTGAAGCACAACCTAAAATCGTGTACTTTAAAGCTGCTGTGTGTGGCAAGCAAATAATTTAGGTAATAAATGATCTAGCTGCAATTTAGCAATTTAGCATGGCTTCCCTATAAATTTATTTGATGAGATTAACTCTTGAGACAAGACTATTGTATGCTGTATACCAGGGAAAACATTTTGCCTACTAGTTTCAAACATTAATGTTTTAATTTTTTACACTCCAATCTTTGAGAAATATTTTTAAACTTGGTGAAAATTTTTTTCTTAATCACCTTTAGGTCAAACAGGCATTCGAGAAGCTATTTCCATGTCCTGTATAACCAATGGGAGTGGTACAAACAGAAAACCAAGTCATACCAGCTCTGTCTCAGTTGCCAGAAAAGACACTTTTTCATCTGCTGCTAAAAGGTATCCATTTGTAAGGGGTGTGTGTGTGTGTGTGTGTGAAAGAGAGAGAGAAAGCAACTTGTAAAATGGTTTAATGGGATAACAGTCCACTTCTGAAACAAATGTGAAGTATATCCTTTGAACATAAAGGCATCCGGCCTGTACTCACTCAGTTTATAATCTTCATTCCTATCGAGTTGTGTGTGGCAGCTTTTGGTTGTTGCTTTAAAAGAGCATTTTCAGGGGGTTTGGTTTCTGTTTAACAAGCTTTTGTTGATGAGTTAAGCATCACTATGTTTAATATAATTACATAAGTGAATTTTCCATAGAAAGTGATACGTTTGATAAAGCATGCTTGCCTATCTATAATAATAAAAGTATAACTTGCTAATTAGACTGGACATTTTTCCAGATGAAGCTGCGGTGGTGGGGACAGAAGCAGGCAGGTGGCAGGCGGAAGCTGAGCCCCTTAAGCGAATTTCATGCATCAGGCCTCTATTTATTTATAAAGTAGTGGGCATACAATATATTAGTTTCAGGTGTACAACATAGTGATTCAGCATTTTTACGTACCCTAGGATGTGATCACCACAATAAATCCAGTAAATATCTGTGACCATACAAAGTTATTAAGATATTAATGACTATATTTCCTATGCTATATTACATTCCTGTGACTCATTTTAGAACTGTAAGTTTGTACCTCTTATTCACCTTCACTTTTTTCACCTAACCCTCCACTTCCCTCCCTTCTAGCAACCATCAGATTGTTCTCTGTATCTGAGTCTTTTATTTTGTTTCTTTTAGGTTCCACATAAAAGTCATATCATACAGTATTTGTCATCCTCTAATGCAGCTTTTTAAAGGAGAAATGGAATCTTTGATAAATGTCTATATTAGTGAGAAGTTAAACACTATTATAACTTTTATTCTTTAACTATAAAATTAAGGCTTAATTTAAAATATAGTACTGTGTGGTATGTATATTTATGTATGTGTGTCAGGGAATGAAAGACAATGGAATATTGCAATATAAAAGTTTCAGTGGATTACAGATTTATATTCTCTACTTTTCATCAATTTAATCTTTTATTTCAACAAAATTGCTTTTGTGTAATTTCTAACAAATTATTCCATATTGAGTTTGGAGAGACTACAAGAGATCAACTACTTAATCTTAGAGCTGTTTTCTTCAAAGAATAATTGAGGATCTTAAGTAATAGAATAATATTTTAAAATGAACTGATAGAAAATGGTTGCCTTGATAAACTAATGCTAGTGATTGAATTATTTATTAATGTGGACTTAAAGATGTTAACCAGGAATGGTGTAGAAATGACAAGATCTTTAGGCCTTTTAAAAAGCCCCTTCTAGAATTCAGTTTTTGAAGTCCTTGTCATTAATTTTTCACACAGTTTTTAATCAACTTCCTTGTATCCAATAATAGTTTAAATTCTTACCTAGCTATAGTTCTGTGCAGTGATCAATATTATACATGACAATGACTCAACAGTCTAAGACCAACTGAGTTTGTTACTTTATAATTCAGGGACTTGGCAGTATTTTGTTTTTAATAAACCAAAAGGAAAATTTCTTTTAGGTTGTGCTGGACCCCACATAAGAGTAATGGCTTGTGCACTCAAGATAATTTGAAGAACAAGAAAAAAGCAATTTCTCACTCAGATATAACTTTCAAAATTAATGTGATATTTTTTATGTAAAATTATATCTCAGCACATACTTTAAAAAACACACACACAAAAAAACCTGAACATGAAGTAGAGTTAATTGGCCAGTCTGAAGATATCAGAACTGAATTATATTAAGAAATGTTACTTTCAAAATTATATGTTAACATTTTAAACTATTATAATGTGATAAATTGCATATAGTATGTATATATGTTTAAAATGTTTGTAAACCTACTTCCTTGTAGATTTATACACTGTATAGTCTAATTACAAAATGTTTTTGGTTAAGTTTAAACAGTTGATAGTTTTCTACCTTTTCAATTCTGGAATTCAAGTCTTGATTCTATCACTTTGTAGTTTGTGCAATGTAAGGATTCTTAAGTCATGTGATTAGGAATGGCAGGTGCTTCATTAATCAAGAGTCAAAGTGCAAATACTTCAACAATAAAAATAAAAGTCAAAGTGTGGAATCACAAGAATTAATACTTAAATGTTTATTTGTTTTGGTTAATCCTCACCTGAGGATATTTTCTCCATTGATTATTTTTAGAGAGTGGAAGGGAGGGGGAGAGATAGAGAACATCCATGTGAGACACATCAATTGGTTGCCTCACGCACATGCCCCAGCTGGCATGGGAATAAAGCCTGCAACTGAGGTACATGCCCTTGACCAAAAGAATCCAGGACTTTTCAGTCCGTGGACCAACGCTCCAAACCACTAAGCCAAACTGGCTAGAGCCATAAATGTTTTATTTAACACAAAATATATTCACATATATTCATTTGTCAATTAAATGAGCCTCTCACCCCCTTTCTAAGTATGCATCTCTGATATGCCTTATTGATGATCTTGCATAAAATATACCCACAAATTATTTTTTATAATTTCTAGTTGTAGTTTTTAAAACAGAATGAGAAATTTTAAAACTCTTGCAAAAACAATATGAATTAGAACCCTTATCTTTATGATTTCCCCCCCCCTCAAACTTTTATAGTTGGCTCACCTACATAAAATGTAACAATTTTTTTAGTAACTCATTTATATGGAGTCTTTCTGGGGCATTTAACTTAGTGTTCATAAAGATTGCAATTCTCTTTTCTTTGTATATTTTATCACTTTTCTTTGTATTTAATTACAATTAAAATAAGTACAGCTGGTGTAAACAGATTCGGGGGGGGGGGGAAGCACAGTGAACTCTTGGTAAATTCAATACTCACCTGGCAGGAACAGGAGTATACAGAAGAAATGGGAATTAGAGAATAATTGACTAAACACGGTCAGCATGCTTTGGGTATCAGTATGTGTTACAAAAGTAATAGAAAGTGTCGCTAATGCTCTCATTTGGGTAAGCTGAAATGAGATCTATTGTCCTTCCAAATCTGCCAACATGGCAAATGCCTCAGGTCATTGTGGGTTTAAGGGGGAAAAGATATATTACCTTACTATTCTTAAATTCTTCACTGAAGATTTTATAGTAGATTCCAGAATTTTCAAAGAAACATCTTCATTCCAATGAAAGCCATGTAAATTGTATTCGTGTGTGTTTTAGGATTGAATTATATAATAATCACTTTTCCCACCATTTAAATTTTTTTTTGTTTAAATTTGTGTTGTTCCATTTATACTTTATTTTACAGTGGTACAGAAAAAAAGAAAGAAAAACCACAAGGACAGAGAGAAAAAAAAGAGGAATCTCATTCTAATGATCAAAGTCCACAAATTCGAGCATCACCTTCTCCCCAGCCCTCTTCACAGCCTCTCCAAATACACAGACAAACTCCAGAAAGCAAGAATTCTGCTCCCACCAAAAGGTTTTAACTGTCCCTGAGTTCAGAACTAGGGAATGGTTGTAATGATACCTAAATTCTATGACGTGGGAAATAGTTGGCTATCCATGGATTCCAAGAGAAAGCCTAGTGGCTTTTACTTTCCCTTCTTTGTTGCTATAATCTATACTTTAGACATTGGATAATGAAGAATTTAAGATCAAAATTTCTCATTTAAAACTGGGACAAAAACTAAGCTCTGAACAGTTTTGATGAATGGAAAGCAGAAATAACCTCTAAAACCAAGACAATATTTTTCTAATATTATAAAATTACAGGATATTTTAAATTTATTTAACTATGCATAAATTTATAGCCATGGATAGAAAATTGCCATATGTAATTATCCTCTTCATATTTTGGCATCATTACAAGCTTTAGCTTTCAAGGGCCCCTCTCAACAAATGGCTCTTTGTTGTTACTGCCTCTCAATTTTAGTTTGGGTTTTAGGAGAAGAAGTTCTTGCTTGAGAAGGGAAATGAATCCATTTCACTTGGTCTTTTCTATGCTGAAGGCTTGCTTGAGGGCTTCTTTCTGTGTCTGTAATAATTAATATTTTAAAGGTATGAGAGGGGAGAAGGGAGAGACATTCTAACAATGTGTGTAAGCCTAAATTGAGGATCTAAACCTGCATGCTGGGAGTTCAGTGCTACAGCTGCCTTATAATCAAATATTTAGACCAACTTAATGAAATATGTCTGCTTTAGAAATGCTGATTTTAGCTATATGATTAGGTATAGTTATACGGGGTGGTCAAAAGTAGATTTGCAGGTGTTCTTATGGAAAATAATGCAATAATTAATAATAATACAAGAGTAAAGTCTGTTTTTCATATTTATAACTGTAAACCTACGTTTACCCACTCTTTTTATCAACATACTTATTCTTGGAAATCTTAGGAAAATATTAAACCATTCTCAGAACTGGCTAGGATTCTAGTAAAATAAATAAGCATTTCTAAAAGGTTTATAATATATTTTTACTTGATCAGTTTAATATTTTGCCTCAAGTCACTAGTGGGAAATTTGGGAAAACAAAAAATCCTTCACTTTATCAATGCATGTTTAACATTTTAAAAAATGCTTGGTCTGTGTGTCTCATGCAAATTTTTCTGCTTGGTCTCATGTGGTGTTTTTCTCAGATATAGCTTATTAATGTTGCACACTTTTGAAGTGTATATGGTTAAATGTAACTTATTTTTATAATCAGTCTCTTAAAGGTTCTGATTTGATTTGATGTCTTCTTTGTCCCAGGCCTTCTTTTCAGCTTATTAAGGTCTCTTGGAAATGTGCTTGCCATTCTCAATTGCTCTTTGGTATACTATTGTGAGAAGTCTTGAAGACTGGATGAGTTATAGGATGGTTAGCAATGCAGCCAAAAATTTATATAGAAGTCAGAACATTTTCAATTATAAATAAATGAATCAGTGTTGATAGTTCAACATTCTTAGGTTAAATTGTGTTTATTTCTGGTCATGGGTTAAAATTGTCTCTAAAAGATATAAACAAAAGTTTTAGTTTTAGTCCCACAATTTATTTAGAAAATATCATGTCTACCATATATAATGAAATAGCAGTTTTATAACAACATATGCAACATTACAAGTTTTTTCACAAATTCACAGTTCTACCAACTTATAAGAAATAGTGCTACTTGGATATTTAAGCAAATAGATCTTTCCTATTAATAACAAAAAAGTATAAATTTTTTAAAATCAAGTAAAACCTATTTTAATGAGTTCTGAATAGTGAAAACAATAAAATAGACTTGGTAATTGCTTTGCATAACTCCTTCACTCATCCAGGCAGAATCTTTCAACTAATGCTTCCTTCTCTTTTCTGAATTAGCTCTAAGGAAATGTTAATTGCTGCTTTTATATTCTATATAAACTGTCAATTATATGTCATTGCTATTTATAGAATTTTTCTCTAAGAAATTAATATGTTTTTTCCAGCATAAAAAGACCATCAACAGCTGAAAAGTCACATAATTCCTGGGAAAATTCAGATGATAGTCGTAATAAATTATTGAAGGCAGTATCAACATCAAAAATAATATCGAAAGTTATAAAAAATACAGACAAGTAAGTATTATACTTTCTCAGTTATATCTGAAAATTAGTAAATATGTGACTGTCATGTTTGCATGTACAATTAAGTGCCTGGTTTGAATTATTTTTTTGAAACCTATACTATAGACACAGATATCAGCATGGTGATTACCAGAAGGAAAGAGGAGTGAGTAGGAGGAGGTAGAAGAGAGAAAGAGGGGATAAGGAGGATAACTGGTGATAGAAGGAGACTTGACTTGGGGTGTTGAATACACAAGACAATATACAGATGACATATTATAGAATTGTTCACCTGCAACCTATATAATTTTATTAACCAATGTCACCTCAATAAATTTGATTAAAAATAAAATAAAAACCTATATTATAATTTTTTTCTAAGTATATCTTTTAATTTTAAATGCTCTAAAAAGACCACATCTTCCTATTAATGCACCACAAATCAAATAGTAAACCTCAGAGATCCCGTAAGATTGGAGTGTTTTTTATAAATTGTTTCTATGCTTTCACTCTTTAGTTGATCTTATGAAATATTCATTATTTTAAAAAATAACAGGTTAGTAGTTGAAACCAGTGAAATATCTGAATTTCATTTCTAGAGATTTACTTTGGGTATGTCCTAGGCATTGAAACTTTTACAATTTCTTCAGGTGGTTTGTAATAATGGTGTGCCAAATAAAATTATAAAATAAATGTCTTTAAATTTCTTTTGTAGGCATAAAGATGTCATCATCAACCAAGGTAAAAATTCTTTTTAAAAATATTTACTTTGCTTTTCTATATCAGTTAAATTTTTGCTATTTGATCAGTATATTGACTATTTTCATGCCATGTACTTTATTAGCTCATAGTAATTAAAGAGAATTGTATTATTATAGTCATTTAAGAAAATGCCCAATTATTATAAGACTAGAGGCCCAGTGCATGAGATTTGTACACGGGAAGGGAGTCCCCTCAGCTCGGCCTGTACTCTCTCTCCATTCTGGGAGCTCTCAGGACCTTTGGCTCCTAACTGCTCACCTTCTACCAGCCTGATCCCCTTAACTGCTCTCCCTGGCTGCCTGATGGCCTCTAACCTCCTCCTAACCTCTTTTGCCTTGGCCCTGCCAACATGGCTTTGTCAAGAAGGACGTCCGAAAGGACATCTGGAAGATGTTCAGTTGAATTAACATATTACCCTTTTATTAATATAGATGTAATTTTTGTCTCAACCAGCAAAAATGTCAAACCATGAAAAAAACAGCCAAGGTAAACATAAGCTATGCAGTTGATCACCTTCTAAGTTAATTTCTTCCTATATCTCTTTTTTTAAAAATATTTTATTGATTTTTTTTTTTTTTTACAGAGATGAAGGGTAAGGGATAAAGAGTTAGAGATATCGATAAGAGAGAAACATCGATCACCTGCCTCCTGCACACCCCCTACTGGGGATGTGCCCGCAACCAAGGTACATGCCCTTGGCTAGAACCGAACCTGGGACCATTCAGTCCACAGGCTGATGCTCTATCCACTGAGCCAAACTGGTCAGGGCTCTTCCTGTATCTCTGAATTTGGCTTTTCATTATTTATACTACTTGACTTTCCTCAAATTACCATAAAGTAAGTATGATAATTTGAAGAAATGAATTCAACTTCTTTTCTAAATATCTTATTTCTGTGAGCTCTGAAGATTCAAGGTCAACAGTAGAAATAAATACATCATTACAAAGAGGTATAAAATACTAAAAGGAATTTCTCTCTTTTTAAAAACAAGTTATACTTAGCAAAGCCATTTAAAAGATGGATACATTTTAATTAACTCATTTTCCTGTCTTGCTGACTTCATTGCAAATAATCATTTATTTACTTAAATATATTTTTATTGCTTTCATAGAAGAAGGGAGAGGAAAAGAGAGATAGAAACATCAATGATGAGAGAGAATCATTGATCAGCTGTCTCCTGCATCACCCCTACGGGGAATCAAGCCTGCAACCCAGGCATGTACCCTTGACCAGAATCTAACCCAGAACCCTCCAGTCTGCAGGCTGACTTATTTTTTGAAGCTCAGACTGAAAATATGAATCTAGCAAATCCATTTTTTCTTAAATGTTTTTATATTGTAATTTCTGGCTACTTGGTATTGTTGGCATGTTCTAACCAAAAAAGGAGAGACTTTCTGTAAATGTGTATTTAATTTAATTGCAAAGTAGGTAAGTTTTATACATCAGTTTTATATTCTCCCTAGATTGCCTGCAGATTTAATGGGAGCATGCTCTCTAAATGAAAGCATGTTCTTTTTGTGCATGCTTTTTACACTTCATTTCTGTGTGTCGTAGTTATTTTTATTTTCTGGCTGTTACATTAATTAGATACATTATGGTTAACGCTTTTGTTGAGATTTAATTTGATTTCTATGAATTTTTACCATCTTTAGTTGCAATAACAGGAGAAATATTTGTAATCTTCTTTGGATTATTTCTTTTTCTTAGAGATTTTAAATGAAGTTGATTTTAGCTGGCATTCTTCACTTTTAGTAAGGTTTTACTTTTTCCCTCTTTTATAATTAAGTATAGACAAGCAAGCAATGGTTGAAATAGATGAAGGAAATAATGAGATTTTTATTTACAAAGACATGACATTTTTTAAAAACATTTTTTAAAAATATGTAGTGGGAAGAGCAGTAAATGGAAAATCTCTGTGTTTGGTGTTTAGTCCTGGTTTTTCTAGATAATAGCCCTGTGACCTAGGCAAAATGATAATGTCTCTTAGAATTTTCTAATCTGAGAATAATAACTATAAAGCTTACGTCAGATGTCTGCTGGAGGATGAAATATTATACAGTTGTGGGCAAAAGTAGGTTTATAGTTCACATGGACTAGACATACAGGTTATGATTATCACAGTAGCTTTATAAACTGTTTTGTGTACTCACAATTGTAAACCTACTTTTGCTCATCCTCTATATATGAAAGTACTTTAAAAATAAAAGACACCATAACTATAAAAAGTGCTGTTATTATTTATATGTTTTGCTAACAACATTTAAGCCTATTAACATTTGATACATTTAGGTGAGTGATAGTAGAGAAAATTTTACTTGGAAGGCCTGAGTCCTTCAGCCACAGCAGTAGAGAAGAGCTGTATGTAAGCTGCATGTTCTAATCAGCACTTAGGCCAAGGAAGGAAACCATGCATGAAAGCACTGGGAGATGGAATGGGATGTATGCAGGGCAATCTCTGAAGCGAGGTGTGTGTGGAAGGACAGGTTAAACCACTGAAAAGAGGTTCTTACTAACTTAGATCTTTATCTATACTCAAACCCCAGAAGCATATACACTTTCATTCTATTTCTGGCACATTCTGCTCCCATCACAAGAGAAATAAAGACTTATCATGTCAAGTTAAACTGAAGAAATTTTCCTGTAGGACTATTTATTGTTAGATGTAGCAGTTAGGTTTCTAGTACGATACTATTCATTTGGTAAATTACTGACTAAAAAGCTTTTGAGCTAACTTTTATAAAATTATTTATTGGGGAAAATAGATAATAATCTGACAAATTTTGTAATAAGGAAAATGAATACAGCCTATGAGCTCATCCTTATAATGGTTATCAAGTCTATTATGTTTTCAAATATGGAAAATAAGTTTCACATGTCCTCATTTTAAGGCAAAACCTGAATGCCCTCAAATTACTGCTATTGCTGCTTTTTTTTCAGGTTTGAATAATCTTTAAACATTTTCCCCGTATAATGTCTTACCACATAATTAATTGTCTAATCGCGTTAAGAACCTGAATAACTCAAATTCCTACTGGAGAGAAATCTGCTTAATTGAGGAAAAGAGAACTCATCAACCACCAAATCACACGCTTCCTCTTATAGTTTCACTGCTCTAATAAGATGAGATTCATTCTTGCTTAATTGTCAAATCATGCAGTGATATCCTAGTTACAGGTGTATTTAGCAGGAAGAATAGTTATTATATTTTAGAAAATTGAGACATAATTGACAATTTATTAGCTACTAAGCTACCTGTCTAAAAATGGCTTCAAATGAAAAGTACGTAATTGTCTAAATGCCTTCGGTGATTTGTTGTAGCCATGCAGTACAAATAATCTAAAAATATAAAATCATTTATAATATTAGAAAAAAAACTCTTAAGTAATCTTGTAATTTTAAAAATATATCTTATTGATTTTTTACAGAGAGGAAGGGAGAGAGATAGAGAGCTATAAACGTCGATGAGAGAGAAACATCGACCAGCTGCCTCTTGCACACCCCCTACCGGGGATGTGCCCTCAACCAACCTACATGCCCTTGACCGGAATCGAACCCGGGACCTTTCAGTCTGCAGACCGAAGCTCTACGACTGAGCCAAACTGGTTTCGGCAGTAATCTTGTAATTTTAAAAGCTATTCCAGTTCTGATGTGTTTCTTTATTCTTTATCAGACACCTTTTTGGTTGATTACTTCCCATCCAACCATCCTCTCCCACCTTCCCTCAGGTTTTGCTTCCATGTCTCTTGATCCTCCATTTATCCGTTTATTTTGTTACTTAGATTTCACATATGAATGTAATCATGTGATACTTGTCTTTTCCTGGCTGATTTATTTCACATGTATTATGCTAAGTGAAATCGGATACACATTTTAAACACTCATTTAACAAATACTTAACAAGTGCTTATTTTGTCAAGACCTATCCTAGGTACTCCAGGATTCAGCAGTTAGAATGTCTGAACTTTGGGAAACATATTCAGTATGAGCAGAGAAATCTGGAAGTACATGAGCCCTACGGCAAGATATTTCTTGCTGTGTTAAGAATCAGTAAGGAGATCATTGAGTGTAGTGTGCATACAATTTTGTATTTGTTACTCATTACATTTACAAAATACTAATTGATTAGGAACAGAAGTTTCATTAGGCACCTTATTTAGGAAAGGGAAGCAAAATGGTATAAAGGAAAGAGCGTAAGCATGAGACCTAGTTAGTGGTCAAGTGACCTGTGCCACCGAAGTTCAAAGAATCAGAATCCTATAATGATTAAAAGTATGAGTGTATTGAGGAGAAGCTCAAAATTCCATTTGCCAAAATAAATTATTTTAAAACATGAAACACTGTTCATCTGATAATTTTTTTCTTGTAACTGAGACTTTGGACCCAGTTCCCTCTATACTAGACAGCTCTAAGAGTCTCTAATAACTTTTGAAAGTTCTTTCTTGCAGCAAATAGACAATGTAGAACAACCTCCACACTCCCCCACTCCCCAGTTCTTCACTAACTTGTTTTAAAGAATTTGAATACAGGTGCTTGCCTTGTGTTGTTTTCTGACCTGTTGGCTCCAAGCATTCTGTCCAAAAACCTGATCATACTTCTGTAAACTGAGCATTGTATCTGAAAGAATAACTAAAACTTATCTATAAAGTATATAGGCTAATAGTCCTACTGACACTGTCTATATATTGCTACCTATTGTAAGGGAGTATATTCTTACCTGCTATGAGGGTGTACAGTTTGAAAGAAATAAAGAAACAAAAAGTCAAAAAGCCCTTAACTGAACTGAGATGGTCCCCCAAATTTTGTAATTTCAGAATTAAGGAAAAAGGGTGCTTGCTTTAAGTCTGTTTTAGTTTATTGAATAGCAGGAAAGACATGAAACCAAATATTGCATTAAAAAAAAAAAAACACTTCTAAAACTTAGATGTTGTGCCTCTTAAAATGGGCTAAATAAACATTACTTGGATCCCTACGTCTGGGCT